TGGTCCTGCAGGCTCCCCTCCTCTGCCCCCCCAGCTCGCTCTGGGGAGTTTGTGCTGATGTCCCCATTGTCACACAGCTGTGTCACACTGTGGCTGGGGACTCTGCACACCCTGGCCACCCAACAGCATCATCCTGGAGCAGTGGGATGCAGGGTGCTGGCACATGGTGGGTGTCAGACCTTGTGTCCCATGGGAGCTGGAGCCACCGTCCCACTCACTCTGCAGCCTTGGGGCCATGTCACAGCCACGGGACATGGAGAGGACAAAGCCAGTGGGCACCGAGCCAGCACAGCCCTTCTGGCACAGGGAGGCAATGGAAGAGTTACTTCCGACATGTGGGTTAGGGCACCTCTGCCACCCCCAGTGCCACCCATGGAAGCCCCAGGGAGCGATGCGTCTCCAAGCAGCCAGGACTGTGGCCACCCTACACATCCACCCATCTGTGGGCCACAGTGGGTGCAGCCATCACGGAGGGGTGAGGAGGTACAGTTCCTGCACCCCAGACAGCCCCAGGCTGGGGGGCTTCCCAGCTACCTTGGTGGGTGGTCATGGTGCCCATTCCTAGGCCATGCTCCTGCCTACAGTGCTGGTGCTGGGACATGGGTGCACAGTCCCAGGAGACCCCTCACCACTCAGCTGCTCACACCAGGGCTGGGCACACACTCCCTAAGGAAAGCCCTGGCAGTAAGTCCCCCCTGCCCTGCTCAGAGCTTCTGATTCTTGTGATGCTGCAAGACAGTCCCTGTGACCTATGGCCTAGGAACAGGGCACGGTGCCCCATGTCCTCTCCCTGCACTGAGCTGGCACCCAGAGCTGCCCGGTTGGCCCCATGTGTAGCCTGCCAGCCACTTCATGATTTGCACCCTGGATCTGAAGATTTTTGCCAGCTTCTTCCCCCACCTGAGATCTGACTATTAACAGCAGCAGTGGAGGCTAGGATGCCCCCAAACCCTCATTTCTGAAGAGGTGGCCAACCTCCTGCCCTGAGCCAGGAGCCGTGGGATTGATCTGAGGTCCTGCCAGGATTGAGGCGCCTCATGTGTTCTCTTGCAGGGCGGGTGATCGTCCTCTGAGGCCGTTTGACAGGTGGGAGAAGAGCTGCTTTTAAGATGACACGAACAGACCCACCTGACATCCTGGTGTCCACAGTGTACCAAGACATCAAGGTGGCCACTGCAGCCCCTGGGGATTCCATTATCTGTCAGCCCGTGGCACAATGTGACGCCTCCATGTCCTCATCCCTGTCCCGCGAGCCGCAGCCCTTCAACAAGCGCCACTGCAGGAGTTTTGACTTCCTCGAGTCGCTGGAAGAGCTGGGGACCCCCCCGGCCATGGAGCGCCCGTGCCCGCGACCCGGCACGCCTGAGCCCACGCCGGGGCCGCCGGGCAGGCGGGTGCCACCGAAGCAGGACCCTTATGTCGGCAGAGCCCCCGCGCCTCGGAGTGAGCCGAAGCGCCGCGCCCGCTCCAAGAGCGCCCCACGGGTGAAGTCCACCTTCACCGCGGTGCCCATTACCGTGGCGGCATCGCCACCGCCGGCCCGGCGCGGGCGGGAGGTGCTGCGAGTGGCACGGGAGCCCTCCCGCGCTGACCCCTCGCCGCGCCGCGAGGGCCCGGTGCCGCTGCGGGTGCTGGCCAACGAGGTTCACCCCATCAAGCTGCAGCCGCAGCGTAGCAGCGTCAGCCGCATCTCGCCGCTCTGCCTGGGCAGCAACTGCTACGAGGAGGGGCCGGGGGCCAAGGTGGGCGCCAGCCCACACGTCAAGTGCCGGGTGGACATCAAGCCGGACGAGGCGGTGCTGGTGCACACAGCGCGCAGCCAGCGGGCAGCCCAGAACCGCCCGGAGCCCACACGCTGGCCCCGCGCCCCCGGCTCCGTCCGCAGCCTGGCCGTGCCGGGGAGCCGGCAGGCGTCCGCATCCCGCACACCCACCCCCAGCGACTCCTACAGCGGGGACGCCCCGCTCCTGCCCTACCCCGCTGAGTACTACGAGGCGGATCCCCGGGTTCTGGCGTACCAGACGGTGCCGGTGCCGGCCTCACGGGAATTCAGGGAGTACCCCGACAGGGGCTGCATGACCTTCTCAGCCGCCGGCGCCCCCGCCAAGTTCTTCTACGCGGAGGAGGCTGCACGGTGCCCCAGCCCCGCCATGCCCCTCCGTAGCTCCGGCTACGCCAGCTACCCCTACCCCGGCCGCCACGCCGTGCCTCAGCCCTTCTACGCCGAGGACCCGGCCAAGGCTGCCGTCCACACGATGCCGCCCCGGACGTTGTACGTGGAGGAGGCGCGGGGTTATCCAGTGCAGGAGGCGCCTGCCCGCGCCTTCTACGGGGATGAGCCCCGTTTCTATGCCCCGCGCGGGACCCCTGTCAAAACCCTCTACGCCGAGGATGCTCGGACATACCCGGCCCTCGGGTCCTCTGCCCGCCTATTCTATGCCGAGGACTACGGGAAGTACCGGGAGCGGGAGGTGCTGTCGCGGACGTGCCCCCCACCCCGCAGCGCACAGCCCCTGCACTTCGGGGACTGGTACTGCCCCGAGCGGGCCGCGCTGCCCTACCAGACCCTGCAAGTGTCGCGCTTCACCCCGCAGCCGGCCGGGCGCGAGGCCATGTTCTCCTCCTGGCACACCAGCTACGGCGTGACCCCGCCGCGGCTGGGCCGGGAGACGCAGCATTACTCCAAATCCTGGGATAACATCCTGGCGCCGGCGGCACGCAGGGAGGAGGCCCTGCAGCGCGGGCGCAGCTATGAGAACCTGCTCGCCCAGGAGCAGCACCGTGCCTTATCCCCCGAGGAGCGCCGGCAGCCCGTGGTGATCAACCTGTCGAGCTCGCCCAAGCGCTACGCCGCCCTGTCCCTCTCCGAGAGCTCCATCCTCGAGCGGGTGCACGCCGACGGCAGCCGCGGGCCCCCGGGCCGCTCCTGGTACGTCACGCCGGAGATCACCATCACTGATAACGACATCCGCGCCGACGGGATGGGCCGCAGCGACAGGCGCTCGGCCAGCTGGGACATGCTGGACGCGGGACAGGAGCGTGGGCCCTACGCCGTGCCCTGCGCCCCGCAGCCCGGTCCCAGGGAGAGTGGCTCAGGGCGCCAGCGCAGCCTGGAGCAGCTGGACGAGCTGATAACCGACCTCGTCATCGACTACAAGCCAGCGCCAGGCCACCGCGCCGGGGACAGGGACAGCCTCGCCGAGCAGCTCAAGCAGCTCCTGAGCAGTAGCGCCCCGGGGCCCCCCCGGCGGGGTGAGGGCAGGCGGGTCCCCCCCACTGTGCCCGAGGGACCCCGACCCACGAAGGAGCAGCCGGGCCCCAGCTCCCGCGCCGGCGCCCCACGGCCCCCGCCCACCCCGCCGGCCGCCGGCCCCTTCGAGAAGTCTCCAGAGAACTGCTCTCCCGACCTGAGCGCAGAGGAGGACGACATGATGATGTGCTCCAACGCCAAGTGCCGGCGCACGGAGACCATGTTCAACGCCTGCCTCTACTTCAAATCGTGCCACAGCTGCTACACCTACTACTGCTCCCGGCACTGCCGGCGCGAGGACTGGGACACGCACAAGGCGAGCTGCGTCTACGGGCGGGTGGGCAGCGTCTGCCGCCACGTCCTGCAGTTCTGCCGGGAGAACGCCGAGGTGCACAAGGCCTTCTCGCGCATTGCCAAGGTCGGATACCTCTCCCGCGGCCGCGGCGTCCTCTTCCTTGGCTTCCCCAATGCTGGCTCGGCCGAGAACTTCCTCCAGTTTGGGCTGGAGAGCCTGCTGATGTCCCCCACCTACCTGTCCCTGCGGGAGCTGGACAGCTACTCGGACAACCTGGGGGACTACGCCCGGGAGCTGCGGGAGACGGGCAACCAGTACGACCCCAACGAATGTTTCCTGCTGAATGTAACCGTGGCCGTCACCCAGAAAGTGCCGGAGAGGCCATCACCCAAGACACAGGTGCCAACGGTCAGGAAATACGCCAAGGTGGCCTTAGCCTCCTCCAGCCCCGAGAAGAAGATCCTGAAGAAGGAGCGGGACATGGAGACATTGATCCTGACACCACCGCCTGGCACGGCAGACATCGACAAGGAGGGGGAGGAGGGCCGGAAGGCACGGGAGATCTGCTTCATCAACATCCAGCGGGAGCTGCGCATCCGCGGCGTCTTCCTGCGCCACGAGTTCCCCGCTGTCTACGAGCAGCTCTGCGACTTCGTGGAAAGCAACAAGCGCTTCACCCCCACCACCATCTACCCTATTGACAAGAGGACGGGCAAACAGTTCATGTGCATGATCATGGCGGCCTCTGAGCCGCGCACCCTCGACTGGGTGGCCAGCCCCAATCTCCTGGATGACATAATGTGAACGCATGGTGGCGGGCACCCCTGGGGCATCCCCGCTGTAGATAGGTGCTGTCCTGTTGTGGCAGTGGGACAGGGACCCCCTTGGCTGTGGCACCAAGGGGAGGGGGCTGCAGAGGGCTGCAGGTGGCCAGCAGTGCTGGAGGGACCCAGGGGATGAAGGGAGCCCAGCCCAGGGTTTGCCCTAGAGCCCAAAGCCTGGCGAGACCCGGCAGAGCCCTCTCAGGTGAGCGGTGCCTGGCCAGAGTGGGGACACCCCATGCACCCCCAGCCCCTGCCCGCCGGGCTGCCACTCACCCAGAGCCCCCCGGGCCTGTCCCAGGGCCCCCAAGCCCAAGAGGTCCCCCGGCGGCCCTAGGGCCGGGTGCTGCGGGGAGAGCTGGGCTGCACCAGGACCGTGTTCTCTTCGTGTCCGTGTGTCCTGAGCGTGTCACTGCGTGAGCGGCAGGGACTGTGAGGGCCCAAGGGCGGCTGGAGGCACTGGGCTGTCCCGGGCCCCGGCGCGGGCTCTGGGTACAGAGCGGGGCAAGGATGGGGGGTCCCCGGCCGCTGCCTGGGGAGGGCGGGCGGGGTAAGGGATCCGCAGGGGGCGGGCGGGGGTTGTCTGACCGGTGTCTGACCGGTGTCTGAGCGGGGCCGGAAGGAATCGTCGGTAAGGGGCGACCGCGGCGGGGCCGGCGCTGCCGGGGGGGCAGGGACGGGGGGGCAGAGCCCGGGCTGCGGCAAAGGGGCCGCGCCCGCTGTCACCCGGGACGGCCGCGCCGCCCTGCCCGACACGGCCCCAGCCCCGCTGCCCCTGCTCCTCCTCAGCCCCGCTGCCCCAGCCCCGCTGCCCCTGTCCCCCAGCCCCGCTGCTGCCCGCGGGCAGGGCAGCCCCGTTACCGCCATGGCCGCCCCACAGGGCCCTGGCCCCAACGCGGCGTCACCGCCCGGCTGTGGGCGGGGCCAGCCCGCGGGCGCTGATTGGCCGGTGGGACGGGAGGGCGGGCGCTTGGGGCGGGCGCGGCGCTGGTTGGGCGCTGCGGCGGAAGGGGCGGGGCGGGCCGGCATGGCGGGCGCGGCGCTGTCGGCGGTGCCGGCGGTGCAGATCGACGGCCATGGCGTGTTCAAGTACGTGCTGCTGCGGGTGCGCGGCGGGGCGGCACACCGGGACATCGTGCGCGGCCACGGCTGGGCCGAGTACCACGGTGAGGGCCGAGGGCCGCGGGGGGGCTGCCGGGGGCCAACCCGGCTGAGGAGGGGGCCAGCCCGGCTGAGGAGGGGTCCCCGTGCCCCCCGCTCCCTCCCCGCAGCCGACCTGTTCGAGCGCACCGCGGAGGAGCTGGCGCGGCACGGCCTGAGCTGCGAGTGCTTGGGCGGCGGCCGCCTCGCCCACCGCCCCGAGGAGAGGAAGATCCACGTCTACGGGTACTCGGTGGTAAGCGGGGGCCGTGGGGGACCCACACGCGGACGCGGCATCTCCCTCCCCGCAACGAGTCCCGCTGGCCGTGGCCGAGTCAGCCTCGCGTCCCCTCGGGGTCCAGGGGCTGGGCCCGGCGGCGCTGCCGAGGACCCCCCAGAACCCTCTCGGGTGAGCAATCCTTGCCCGGAGCAGGGGTACCCCACGTACCCTCCAACCTCTGCCCGTGGGACAGCCACACACCCAGAGCCTCCCGGGCCTGCCCTGGTCACCCTCCAACCCCCGGGGTCCTGCAGCAGCTGTACCCAGCGCTGGGTACGGTGGAGGAGCTGGGCTGCACAAGAACCACGTCCTCTCTGTGTCTGCATGTCTTGAGTGGGTCACTGCAGGAGTGTTAGGTGCTGTGGGGCCCTGTCAGGGTGACTGGTGTTATCCTTGGGGTTATCACCCATGCAGGGGGTCCCTGGGTGCTTACTCTGGCTGTGCAAGGAGCCCAGCCAGGGCACGGTGCTGGTCCCCAGGCCACGGTGCTGCCACTTTTCCCAGCTCCAGGGTGGCGCCGTCCCCTTTCCTGGGTGCTGTGCCAGCCACAGCTGGAGCCAGGCTGAGCTGCCACAGGGGGTTGTCACAGACACGGGCTCCAGGGCCTCTCTGGAGCTTGTTGGGCTCCCCAACGGGTGGCCACCCCCCAGCTCTCCTTGGGGACCGTCTCTCTTGTGCAGGGCTTTGGGCGAGCTGACCATGCCGTGACCACAGAGAAGCTGAAGGCCGAGTACCCCGACTACGAGATCACCTGGGCAGACGAAGGGTACTGACTGCTCTGTCCGGCTGGGGGTTGCCCAGGTGGTGCCAGCAGGCTCCCTGTGCCTGGCAGTGCTCTGGGCTCTCCTGCTTTTCCTCTGTGAGAACTCACCTGTTCCCCACCGTCACTGGACTGTCCGTGTGCCAGGTGCTCCTGCCTGCCCGGCGTGGCACAGCTGGTGAAGCCAGTGGTCGCTCTGTCCCGGCCTCCCGGTGCCGGGGGCTCATCCCACGCGTGTCTGTGAGAATTAAACTTGTTGGGGAACACAGCTGCTCGGGTGGCCACACTCATGGCTCGGCTCCTCCTTTCCCAGCTCTGGGTTGCGCCCACTGACAACAGGAGAGATCCCCCTTGAGGGGGGTCTGACCCTGGAGTGGGCAGGGTCTGGGGTGGGGACAACAGGAGGTACATTGGGATTTGCCTTGGGAACGGCTGAGACAGGAGAGAGGAAGGTAATGGGTTCTCAGGCCAGGGGGAGGGAAAGGCAGGGTGAGGCCTGTGCCCGGTGTCCTGCCCCAAACTCCAAAGGAAACTCACAGTGAGGGGTGATGAGCTTTGTGGGCAAAAAAAGGGTTTTCCTGTGCCTCGTCCTTCCTTCCTGCAAGGTGTGACCCTCCCCTGTGCCTGGAGGGAACGTCACCCAGTAGTCACACAGAGGAGCACAGCTTCCCTGCAAGTCATTGGATCATGGAGCTTGGAGGCACATCTGGGATGTCCCGTCCATCCACCAACCCAGCAGGACCAGCTCCAGCAGGTCCATCGTGGTGACACTGTTGGAGTGTCCTGTGCAGGGTCAGGAGTTGGACTCAATGGTCCTTAAGGATCCCTTCCAGCACGGGATTCCATCGTTCCACGATTGTATTCTATGATTAGGTTGCTGGGGGCTGTGGCCAGATGGGATTTGGGAATGTTCCTGAACCCAGACTCCCTGGCAACCTGCTTTGATTTTGAAAACCCTCACATGAAAAAAGGTTCCTCTTAACCTTAAAGTGGTGTTTGATGTTCTCGCTTTGTCCTCGCTGTCTTGGCCCTTCCCAGGGCACTCCCTGCTCAAAGGGTCAGCTCCCTGCACCCTTCTGCCAGGGCTTACATGCATGGGTAGCATCCCCCTGCACCTTCTCCAGACTGAGCACCTCCAGTTCAGCCTGGGATGTCCAGTCCTCTCATCATCATCAGGGAATCTCCTTCCCGGGGACACTCTGAACCCACTTGGACACATCGTGAGTGACTGCTCCAGGGAGCCCTGCTGGAGCGGAGGGGTGGGACTGGATCACCTCCAGTTGTTCCTTCCAGCCTGTACCATCCAGTGATCATCGCCAGGGCTCCTGGCTTGATCTGCTGCAGTGTGCTCACATCTCATACTGGGAGCCCAGCATCCCCCAGGCAAAGGGGAGGGCTCAGACCTGTGGGATGTGCTTTGCCCACAGCACGGGCTCACAGCCAGCTCGGTGCTGGTTCCCGGGCAGGACAGGGCTCCTGTGTGCCTGGAGTGCCCAGGCTGTGGGGGGTGGGGGGCTGCTGGTCCCACGGGACCCAGCTGGCGCTGGGGGAAGGAGCTGAGCCCACGTTTTACTGCGCCTGATGCAATCCCGCTGCAATCCACGGTCCAAGGCCATCGGCGCAAGGGGAGAAGCTGCGCTCAACAGGGGCCCCTCTCTGGGCACAGGGGTTGCAACAGCAGAGGTGGGAGGGGTCCCGTGAGGCAGCAGCCCCTGTGAGCCCTGGCAACAGGTGGGGAAACGGGAGGGGGCAGCAGTTACCATCCCCAGGCAGCACTGGTGGTGCCCTGTGGGGCTCTGGCTGCCAAGCCATGCTTCTTCCATCAGCCCTTGCTGGGGCTCTGCCAGGAGTGTTCTGCCCCACCTGATTGTGGCCCCAAAGCTGTGCCCCTTTGTCCCGTGGGAGTCATGAGCTGGGTGCTGAGCTACTCCCTCCAGCCAGAGTGGTGCAGGCAGGGGTGAGGGCTGGCTCCTGCCGATGGCGTCTCAGGAACCTGAGGTTCCAGGGAGACCTTAGAGCCTTACAGTACCTAAAGAGGCTGCAATAGAGCTGGAGGGGGACTTTGAACAAGGGCCTGGAGTGACAGAACAAGGGGGAATGGCTTCGCACTGCCAGAGGGCAGGGTTAGATGGAATATTGGCAATATTAGATATTGCTGACCCCCAGCGCAGCTGCCCTCCCTGGCCAGGGTGCAGCCCAATGCCAGCCTATACCCTGCATCCAAAGGCTCTCCCACTGCTCCTTTTCTTGGGAACTGGTTCTCCCTGTGATCCAGCCCAGGGGACTGGCACACCCACCGTGTCCCTGGCGTAGGTTCCAGCTTCTCCTGCCGGGCTGGCAGCATCCCTGGCTTGGCAGGCAGTGGCCTCATCCCTCGAGGGGCCAGTGCGTGTCCTGTCCTGCTGTGCCTTGTCCCAGTCAGAGCAGCGTCTTGTCCATGGTGAGAAGAGGGGCTGAAGAAGAGGGGTTCAGTGGGGGAAAGCTGAAGGTCTCCCTAGGACACTTGGCTGGCAGCTCGCTGCTGCAGTGCCAGCGTGCCGGGTGGCAGGACCACAGTGTGTTGTCACAGCCCGGCACAACCTCGCCATAAACCCTCTGCCAGGCCGGGAGCCGATAACGGCGGGGCTGAAGTCCAACACGGGCAGATCCCAGGGAGCAGATTCCAGCCTGGGGCTCACGGTGTGGCCTCTCCGAGCTCCGTTTCGCTGTCGCGGTGCAGGGATGGCTGCAGGCGGGCAGGTGCTGGTCCTCCTGGTGCTGCTGGGTGAGCTCTGCCGACACGGGGGTAGTGCCAGGGGCAGGGAACGTGCTGGCTGCTCCACGCTGGGCCTCCCCAACCTGGGCTGCCGTGGGGATCTCCAGCTCTGTGAGGGCTGTGCTGCTCGGGCTGGGGGCACCGGGGCAGGTACAGCCCAGCCAAACCCTCCTTTGGGCTCTGCTGGTGAAGGTACATGGGGTTCCCAGGGTGAGCAAGTGCTGGAGCTCCCAGTGCCGGGCTGAGTATCACCAATGGCTTTATTCAGCATGGGACAGAAAATGCCCAGATTTTCCTCTTTCTCCCCAAATGGGGGCTGGGACTGTGATATAGCAGGCTCAGTGCCTGGGTGGGCTCTGGAACCCCGAGGGTGCCCAGGAGTGGGGCTGGCAGTGGGAGATGGCAGTGTGGGAGATTGTAGAGTGCCAGGGCAGTGACAGGGGGTCCCATCCAAGGAAGAGCTCAGTGCTACCTGCTCCCCCCTCCCATCAGAGTGCTCAGACAAATATCCCCTGCAGGCTATGTGTGTGCCCTCTGTCATTTGCTATGGGCAACATGCCTGGTTCCCTACAGGGTTTTCAGCTCCCTTATCTCTTTCATAGCCAAGACTGTCCTCCCCTGCGGGTCTGTGATCATCAACAGCTGCAGCAGCGCAGCTGAGCAGCTCTGCAACTTTGTCTGTGACTGCAGTGACTGCTCCGACGAGAACCAGTGTGGTGGGTGCCCACGCTCCCCAGACCCGCTCTCAGGCCCTGCTCCTGGGTGACAGCAGACAATGGAGTGGAGGGTGTTGTGGGTGCAAGTCCCTGGGGTGATGCTGGTGCCCAAGCTGGATGCAGGGTCCCCCAGGGTGGGTGCAGATCCATGGGGTGGGCACAGGTCCCCAGGATGGTGCCAGAGCTGCCCTGAACCCCCCATCTGCCCAACCTCAGGGTACCTGCGGGGCTCAGCAGTGCTGGGCACCCTCTTCACTTGTGACTTTGAGGATGGTGACTGTGGCTGGCAGGACGTGGGCACCTCAATGTACAGATGGGTGCGGGGCCGGGCCAACCTGGCCATGTGGGGCACAGGGCCTCACTCAGACCACACCGTGGGCACTGACCTGGGTAAGTGGGAGCTGCTTGGCTGGTGAGTGTTCTCTGGGCACCCATGGCACCACCCCACTGGGCTGTGGGTGCCCTGGAGCGAGGACATCCACCCTTGTAGGGTACAGGGGATGGAGCAGACCCGTGGTGGGGCAGGAGTGGTGCTGGCAGAGCTGCGGTGCCATCCCATGGGGGTGCAGCCCTTGCTCTGCTCTCTACCCTCCTCAGGCTGGTTCTTGGTGACTGTGTCTCCCCCTGCAAAGACTGTGGCCACGGCCTGGCTCAGGTCACCAGAGATGCGGGAAGCAGCTGTCACGTGCGAGATCAGAGCCTGGTACCACCTCTCAGGAAGCTGTGAGGGCACCCAAGGTAGGCATCGGGTACCAGGCACAGGGCAGTGAGGATGGGAGGCAGTGGGGAGGGACGGGACCCCCACGGCAGGGACAGGATGTCAAGGCAGTCCACACACAGAGCTGGTGGAACCCAGGAGTCCCAGCTCCAGTCCCCAGAGCTGGCAGGGCCCCGGGATGCCCAGTGCCAAGGGCACTTTTGGGGCTCCCTGCAGGGCTCAACAAGACGGAGCAACCGGTGCTGCGCCTGGACGTGGCATACGGGGACGAGGTGGTGGGGCTGTGGCAGAGCCCCCAGCGCAGCAGCAAGGGCTGGCACCAGCTGGTCGCCTACCCGGGCCGAATTGTGGGACCGTTCCAGGTGAGACAGTGTCGGTACCCAAGTACTGTCCCCCCAGGCTGGGACCAGAGGAGGTGGGGGTGCTCCAGGAGCCCAAGGGGCCCAGGCAGCTCATGCCATCCCTGTCCTCCCATCACAGCTTTTCTTCTCCCTGACACAACCCCCCGCCTGCGGGGCAGAGGTGGCACTCGATGATATCATCTTCAGGAACTGTGCCTTGCCAGGTGAGTTCCACATCTGCTGGGATGTGAGACAGGATCTCGGGGGAATTGGGTGGGGCTTTGCACCCCAGGGGAGCTCTCCCATTACCCACCATGTCTTGGGGCGCTGTGCTCTGGCATGGGGTGGACATGAAAACCTGTCCCTTGAGCCACACCAGGAAAAGATGTGGGGGTTGCCCACCATGTCCCTGTGGGACCAACCACTTGCTGACATGTGTCCCCCTGCCCCAGGAACCGGGCAGCAGGACTGCGGGGCGCAGGAGAGCCGCTGCAGCCGCGGCTCCTGCGTGGCTCGGACCCGCCTCTGCGACGGTACCGACGACTGCGGGGACGGCTCGGACGAGGACGCGACACAGTGCGGTGAGCAACCCTGGCCCCGGGAGGGGGTCCTGCCCACCAGCCCCCTGCCCACACGGATGGGCTGAGGCTCTGTCTTGGTGGGGAAAAACTGTACTGTGTGCTGGCAGGGTCCCCCCAGCTCTGCCCCAAGCTGTGCAGCCAGGGGGGACAAAATCACCCCGAGGTTTGCAGAGGGGTAACATCAGCCCAGCCGGTTACCTGTCCATGAGAGGGCTGGGACTCTTGTCCCTGGGTCACAGCTGCCCCTTCTCCCCACAGAGCCCTTCACCAACTGCTCCTTTGAGCGTGATCTCTGTGGCTGGGAGGCAGGGGCTGGGCCACCATCGTGGGACAGGAGCACAAACCTGAACCTGGGCACCTTGTATGGCTTCCCCACCCGGGACCACAGCACCAACAGCAGGGCTGGTATGACAAATGACCCCCAGCACAGGTCCTGGGGTGGACGTGCCCTGGGGTGACACAGACCTGGGCTCTGCTCAAAGCTGTGCCTGGACAGCGGTGTCCTGCACTCACACACCTTCAAGGGTCCACTCAGCCCCTTCCCGGTGTCTCCCACAGGGTTTTTCCTCTACGTGGACAGTGCCCCCAGTACGGGGGCCAGCAGCACAGCTCAGCTCAGCAGCCCCTCTTTCGGGGCCACCAGCTCCTGCTCTGTGAGTCACAGCTGAGGCCTTGTGTCAGTGCCTGTGTGGGCATGATGGTGGCGGGAGATGGAGTCCCCAGCTGTGGGGACCCTCCCGTGGGGCTGGGGCTGCAATCAGCCATTACTGGGGATAGGCAGCGGGTTTCTGGGGGTGTTTTGGTGACATGTCACACAAGCAGCTCTCACCAGACCCTGGATCCCCTTCATATGGTGGCAGCTCCTGGTGTCCATTGGGAGCTCTGAGCTCCTCCAGTTGCCTCTGTGAGCATCCTGTGGGGCACAGGGGCCTGTGTGACCCTGCCCTGAAACTCATCCCCTTCCTCAACCCCAGCTCGTGCTGTACTGCCACCTCCACGGCTCAGCCAACAGTAGCCTCAGCATCTCCTATGTGACCAACTCCACCAAGCAGCTGGTGAGGGAGAGGACAGGGGACCTGGGCAGCTGCTGGGTCCGGGAGAGAGTGGACTTCAGTGTGACAGAGGCCTTCAAGGTGGGCTGGGGCCATGCTGAGGGGAGCTGGGCTGCCTGCAGGGTGAGGGGCACAGGGTCAGTCCGAGTAGGTACCTGTGGAACCAGGGCTGAACTGGGAACCAGACACCAGAGCTGAGCCTCTAGTGCTAGCACGTGCCACCTCCATGTCCCTATGCCCACACCTCCAAATCTCCCTACCAGCCCCTAGCCCAGGACCACCCCACTGGGAATGGAGGGTGGTTGGGGTGTCTTCATCCGCACTGCCCACCCCATACCTTCCCACTGTCCTGGCTTCTGTCCCCCACTGCCACTGACACAACCCAGCCTGCTCCCAGCTGAGAATGGAGGGTACCCCGATGACACCCTGAGGGCACCCTGGTGGCACCCCTGTGGCACCCCCAGGCATCTGGAGGCCACAACTGCATGCAGGAGCAGCACCATCCCCCTAAGCCCACTATGGCCCCACCAGCCCACCCTGTGCACCCCTGTCATCCCCTGCTCCCACCGAGTCCCTTCCTGGGGGAAGTGTGTCAGCCCCTAACAGGTGCTGCCTCCTCCCATCCCACAGCTCCCTGGTGTCACCCCAGTCCCCCCACACTGTGCAGGACCCCATGGTGATGTTGCTGGCATGGTGCTTCCCTACAGGTGCTGATCGAGGGGGTGGCCGGCAGCGGGGGGACTGTGGCCATCGATGACCTGATCCTGTCACCGGGCTGTGTGAAGGAGCAGGGTGAGCTGGAGGGCAGCATCCTTCACCCTGCTCCAGCATGGGCAGCCAGTCCCAGGTGTCTGTGCCCATGTCACCATCCCTAAAGGACACACCATGGAGTCTGCGTGTCCCTCTGCTCATCATCAGACTGTCCTGGGTGCTACACAGCAAGCACCTGCCTTGGGACACTGGTGTCCTGGTACTGTGGCTGTGACACTCCATCCCCTGTGCCAAAACGTCACACAAGCAGCTCTCACCAGGGCCTGGATCCCCTTCATATGGTGGCAGCAGCGATGGGATGGGATGGGATGGGATGGGATGGGATGGGATGGGATGGGATGGGATGGGATGGGATGGGACAGGGTGGGGGAAATGAACCAGGAAGGTGCCTGGGAACAGGGGACTGAGGCTTGAGGGGTGACACCTATGCTGTTGTTGAGCCCTCTCTCTGCCACTCTCCATCCTGGGGTGTTTCACCATCAGGGAAGCCTCCAGTCATGCTGCCAAGCCGGGCAGGTGCCGGTCCCTGTGCAGCAGGGGAGGTGGCCTGTGACAGCGGGGGCTGCATTGCGGCAGAGCTGGCCTGTGACTTCAGCGACACGTGCACCGATGGCTCCGACGAGAAACGCTGCGGTGAGAGCTGAGGGGAGTGGTGGCAAAATGAACCCAGCAATGCAGGGGACCAGGCAGGGAAGGGACACAGGCACCCCGGGCTGGAACAGTCAGGGTACATGAGTGGCTGCACAGCCCCCAGGCCTGGTGAGGCTGAGCCTGGAGTTTTGGGTTGTCCACAGAAGCTGTGGCTGCCCCATTCCTGGAAGTGTTCAAGGCCAGGTTGGACAGGGCTTGAAACAACCTGGTCTAGTGGAAAGTAGACCCCCCATGGCAGGGAGTGGAATGAGGTGAACTTTAAGGTCCCTTCCAACCCAAACCAGCCTGGGATTCTGTGATTCTCTGACTTTGCAGGGGCAACAACCTTCGAGTCAGGGGCTGGGGGCTGGCACGATGTCAGTGTGGGGCACCTGCGCTGGGGTCTACAAAGGCACACTGAGCCCAACACCTTCCTCACAGGTGAGGCTGTTCCCACTGCCCAGACAATGCTCTTCGTTCCCCAGCACTGTGGGAGCCCCAGAGCAGGGGCTCCTGCTCCCACTCTGCTGGGGTGGGTGGATACCACTGCACGACAGCGGGTGATGCCCAGGCAGGATGCTGGGCTAGGGGTGCTACCATAGATGTGGGATCCCAGTCCTCAGCTCATGGAGTGTTTCTGTGCCCAGGGTCTTTTCTGGGCCTCCAGGAAGGAGAAGGACAGATGGTGAGTGCTGCAAAGGCACAAACTCCTCTGCTGGGCCCGTCTGGCCCCACTTGCACCATGGAGATGAGCTACCACATCCACAGTGACCCCCAAGGTAATCCCCTGTACACCCCTGGGGTGCCCTGCCTGCTTCCTGCCCCCAGAACTCACCCCAGAGCCCCCCCTGCCCACCTGCCTTTGCTACCTCTCCCAGCCCCATTTTGCCACATCACACTGTCCTGGAGCTGGTGTGTCCCTGTCCCCGTCCTTGTCCCCATCTCTGTCTCCTGTGACCATGGGCCAGGGCTGTGGAGGACTCCCACAGGGTGGCCAGGAGTTTTGGGTGGCCACAGCCTCTGCACCATCTCTCATGCCAGGCTTCCTTGCTGTCAACATCTTGGATCACACCACTGGCACCACCCAGCTGGCCTGGCACACACAGGGTCGTGGTGGCACAGCTGGGGAACGTGTCCGTGTCCCCCTGGGAGAGAGGAGCAGACCATTCCAGGTGTGCCAGGGACAAAGAGACCAGCCTGGGGAGCACTGCCAGTGCTACCAGGCACTGAGCTCACGGCTGGTGCCTCCAGGTCGAGCTGCTGGCGCTGGTGGACCTGCAGGGTTTGGAGAGTGTTGGCATCGACAACGTGACATTCGAGCAGTGCCACCTCGGCGTGGTGTCACCCACAGCTGCAGGTACGGCCAGGGGTACGTGGGCAGGGACAGTGACCCCAGACACCCCCCATGGGGGCTGTCTGGTGGCTGTCACCCTGTCCAGGGACAGGACCATGGTGCAGAAGCCACATCCTGCTCTGGCCTGGGACACCTGCATGGGGTAAACCTGGAGAGTGGAGTGGGGGGGCAGAGGGAACAGGGACATTTGGGGACCCACTTGCTTCTGGAGTACCTTATCCCCTTCCACCTCACCACCACCACACCTCTCTGGTCAGAGCTGACCTGCAACTTCGAGAGGGACATGTGTGGCTGGTACCAGGATCAGTCCAGTGACTTCAAATGGGTCCACAGCATGGGGCAGGGACAGGGCTCTGACCACACCACTGGCTCAGGTAAGAGGCTGGCTGCTCTTTGGGGGCACCCCACTTTCTTCTCATCTTGGCACAAGCCAAGACATACCCTGTGCACTCCAGCAACCCCATACCTGTGGAGTGAGCTCACCTGGGGCAGCCTGGATGAACCCAGGTAGGGGTATGGGTGATGTCGGCACAGCTCAGAGCACTCACATCCATGTTCCCTCCACCTTGGCTGTCCCCAACACTCAGGTTACTTCCTCTCTGTGGACCCCTCTGGTCTGTGGGGCCGTGGGCAGCGGGCACGGCTCATCACATCCCTCCAGGACCCTGCTGCTGCCCCACGCTGTCTCTCCTTCTGGTACCTCCTGGCTGGCCCACAGATTGGTATGTGCCCCCTGGAATCCTCTCGGGGATGCCCCAAGCCGGCTCCACTATGCTGACAGCAGGTGCTGGATGGCTGCCCCCACCCTTGCCCAGGCACCCTGAACCTCAAGCTGCAGCCAGAGGGACAGGAGGAGACGGTGCTGTGGACCTGCCGGGGGAGCCAGGGCAGCCTCTGGCACCGGGCATGGGCCACACTGCCTGCCACGGGCCAGAAGCCATACCGGGTGAGGAGCAGACCCTTCTGTGTCCCTGGCACCAGCGAGGCATGGGGCTGACACCACTGCCTGGCTGGCAGGTGGCCTTTGAGGTGCTGCGGGATGGGTTCCTGGGGGACGTGGGGCTGGACGACCTGGCACTGACAGCGGGACCCTGTGGGGCCGAGCTCTCCTGCTCCTTTGAGGCAGAGGGCTGTGGGCTGGCTGCCAGCGGGCAGGGCACCTGGCAGCGACAGAGCAACGGCACCGGCACCACGGCCGGCCCTGCAACCGATCACACCACTGGCACCGCTGCAGGTACAGAGCCACGATGGCCTGAGGCTTGGGGAGCCCTGCTGCCTCCCTGCCCTCTGCCTGCCTCCCTGCCTCCACTGTTCTGCCTGCCTCCCTGCCTCCACTGTTCTGCCTCCCTGCCCTCGCTCCCTGCTCTCCTGCCCTCCCTGTCTGCTCTGAGTGTCCTGCCTGTCACCACATCAGCCCTACCTGCCTATCCTGTGTCCCGCCTGCCCTCCCTGCCTACCCAGGATGTACAAAAGGCAACCCTGTACAGGGCTCCCCAACCCTGGAACTCTCCAAACCCAGAGTTTCCCAGTCCTGGGGAGGTCCCTGAACTGGGGGAACTCCTCAACCTGGGCAGAAACCCCAGACCCAGTGGTCCCCTAGGGCCCTGCAGCAGAGCTGGGCAGGGACCATGGCGTGGGAACTTCTCTCCCCCAGGTCATTACATGGTGGTGAGCACGGGCAAGGCCTCCTTGCCTGCAGGGCACAGGGCTGTGCTCACCTCACAGCCCTACCAGCCCTCCACGTCCACCCAGTGCCTGGCCTTCTGGTACCAGCTGAGCCCTGGGACTCCAGGTGAGCACCACCACCCCCAAGACCCCTGGGGGCACCTCCAGAGGGCTGGGGGTCCTGCACAGAACAGCCCTGGACCCCTCCTCCATGGTGGGTGCCCTGGGCAGGCTCCCTTGGGGTGCTTGTGGAGCAGAGTGGGGTGCGGAGGAAGGTGCTGAGTGTGAGCACCACGGAGGGGAGCGGCTGGCACCGCGGCCACGGCACCATCCAGCCTGATGGGAACTGGCAGGTGAGATGGGGCAGTGTGCCGGGGACAGCTCGGGGTGACAAGGGTTGACTGCCAGCCTCAGCGTGCCACCCTACCCAGATGGTGTTCGAGGCAGTGGGAGCTGGAGGTGACCATGGGTACATCGCGCTGGATGACCTGCACGTGTCAGATGGAGCCTGCCCTGAGCCAGGTGAGAGCCCACCCTGGGGGGCACCATGGACCAGATGGGGGAGATGGGACATCCCATGTGGGCACACAACCATGGGCATGGAGACAGCCTGTCCCTTCCATCTGGACACCATGCTCCTGCCTTGAGCTTGGTCTGGTCCAAAGCTGGCAGTGGTGGGGAGGGGGCTGGGGGCTGCCCCCCCACCCCCCGATGCTCCATCTCCTACCAGGCAGCAGTGGGTGTCTCACAGCCCCCATTTCCTCCCAGCGTCCTGTGACTTCGAGCAGGACATGTGCGGCTGGAGCAGCCCCTCGGACCCCCACCTGCACAGCTTTGCCTGGGGCTGGAAGAGCGGGGTGCCCCTAGCCAAGTACCCTGGCCCTGAGCAGGATCACACCCTGGGCACAAGGAACGGTAGGAAACACCCAGCCCTGCCTGGGCACCATAGCATGGCCAAAGTGAGGAAAACAGCTGAGGATGAATGGGGTAACCCCAATACCTTCAGGGAGCGTGGCTCCTCCGCATCCCTGTCCCCTCCTTGTCTGGGAGGGACAGCTCAGCCCAAAGGCAGTGAGGTGCAGGGCTGTGGGGTGCCATCCTCTGGGCATTACTCTGGACATTTTGGGGTGGAGTGGGACAGGAGGGGCGGGCTGCAGCACTGGGGGACACCCTGTGCTCTGTCCCTGCCTGCCCAGGTCACTATGTGCACTTCGACACCAGTGTGCTGGGTGCAGGGGGCACCAGTGCCCTGCTGGAGAGCCAGCCCCTGCCTGCTGCCACCGACTCCTGCCTGCGGTTCTGGTACCACATGGACATCCCAGAGCACCTCTGTGAGCACCACAGGGGCGGGGAGGAGGTGCTGTCCCTGGGGAGGGCATCGTGAGCCCACGGTGGGAGTGGAGGGCTTGTTCAGGGGCTGCAAACCCCCTCCCCACCCGTAGGACCATGGACACTCCAGTCCAGCTCCAGCTGGGTGGGGATGGCCCATAACTGCTGGGTGCTGCTGTCCCAGTGGAGGGTGGTACGGCTGGGAGGGCCCCATGACTTCTGGGGGGCTCTGGGTGGTCAGTGACCCCGGGGTGCCTGTGTCCCCCCCTTGCAGCCAGTGGGGAGCTGCGGGTGATGCTGCACAGCACAGCAGGGCAGCGCACGGTGTGGAGCGTGGAGGGACACCACAGCCGGGGCTGGCAGGGTGGCGTGGTGCCTGTGCAGAGCCCCAGCGAGTTCCAAGTAAGTGAGGCCACCCTGGGGTGCAGGGTGCCCAGCGGGGGTGCTGGGTGCCCTGCAGGGGTGCATCAGGTCCCACCTTCCCTCGCAGATCATCTTTGAGGTCAGCACACGGAGATGGCCGTTGGAGGGGACAGTGGCACTGGATGATATTGTGTACAGTGCCGGGGTGGGCTGCCATTCCAGCCCCGAGGAGCCAGTGGAAGGTGCGGGGGAGGGGGCCGGTTCTGACTGCAAAAGGTCCTCCCAGCACTGCTCAGGGTGCTGGGCCAAGCCTGGAGGCAGCTCTCTGAGTGGCAGGTCAAGCCTGGCAGCATCTCCTCTCCCTTCTCTCACTGCAGAGAAACCCTCAGGCAGCTTCGTGGCAGAGGTGGTGCTGGGTCTGCTCCTGGCCCTCCTCACTGTTGCACTGGTGGCTACTGGGGGCTGGTACTGGCTGAAGCAGCGAGGGCTGGCGAGCAGGACACCAGTGGAGAGTGACACTCCCCAGGGCTTTGACAACATCACTTTTCGAGATGTAAGGACAGGGTGAAGACTTTCCTGATTACCCCAACTGCACCAAAACAGCACATTCTTAAAAGCTCAGCAAATGCTGACAGGCTCCCCCTGACACTGCACTCCGCCAACACGACAAGGAGGTGCAAAGGGCTCTGCCTCTTATCTGCTTGATGGTAAAGAGTGACCCAGAGCTGTAGGACTGACCTAGAAACACTGCTGCTGCCAGGCAGCTGCTCCAGAAAGAGCTGAGTGTGCTCCTACCCCAGAGTCCTGTGAGAAGGGGGTCCAGCAAACGTGGCTTATCCTCACCCAGCCAGCAACCAAATCCGAGAGAGGTGGCTTAAGCTGTGGGTCCCTTGGACAGGTCTGGTGGCGCACGGACCATGGCAGAGCCCCCAGCCCCAGGAGGAATCCCAACAGAGGATGTGGAGCCCCCTGGGTGCACTTGGGGTTTAGTTCCTCTGTTGGGCTCAATGGGGGCTGGTCCATGGGTTCTCTCCACTGCAGCGTGGAAGAAATCCTGGTCTCTCACAGCAGACAGCCCATGTTTGCCACTGATTCCCACTTATCTTTCTTTGCAGGACAAGGTCATTATATCTCCAGTGCCAAGGGAGGGGGATGAGGCTTGAAATTATCAGCCAGCAGCAGAAATTGCCCACTCCCACCGGGCAGACCATTCCTCAGCGAGACCCCACACTCCAGCAGCCGCTGGCTCTCTGCCCCCAGCACCAGGGAGCTGCCGTGACACCAGCGGGGCTGCCAGCCCCACAGAGACACGCCGCTGCCACCACTACCTCCAAGTGCTCGGGAAAAGCATTTTTGTTGTTTGTAACATGAACTTCCAAGACACAGAAACGTGCCTGTGCTTCGGCAGGCGCTGGCAGCAGTTCTTGCAGCGACCGTCCTTGTCCGAGCAGGGGATGAAGTGTGGGGTCCTGGTCCCCAAAGCTGGGAGGAGCAGTAGGTGCTGCACGGGCATGAGCCACTGTCCACACTCAGGACACCCCACCCACAGGGAGGAAGCCCAGCATTTCTGCTGGTTGGGGGGGGGGGCTCTAGGGAGGGTGAGCGGGAGGGAAGGGAGCAGAGTGGGGGGCACCATGCAGCACCCCCAAGGACAGCAGGCAGCCCCAACTCCAGTATACAGGTACCCACCTGCTGCCCACACACCTTGCAAGGGCTCTTGATATTTTGCCTTTAAATGTCGCTGGAAAACCCAAAAAAGTTCCTGAGGCACCGGCTGGGCTCAGGGCCTGGGCCCCCACCCTGCACCAGAATCCCCCAGCCCGGGACCTCTCCCTCCCCTCAGCCTTCACCCCTTATCACTGTGAGCTCCGAAGCAGCCCAGGGCCAAACCCGCCCTCCACACACAACCTGGCTCAGCCCCCGCCCCACGAGCAGCCCACCAGGGTCCTGCCCCCACCAGCCCCCATGCCCGGCCAGAGGACACTGGGGCATCCTGCTTTCCCAGGGAGTCACCACAGACTGTTTCCCTCTCACCCAGCTGTGCCCCCCTTAGGTGATGCCTCAGAGCACCATCCCACAGCCCTGTCCTGCCTGCAGGAATGAGCCCCCAGCAGAGCTGGCAGCAGGGTAAGGAGGGCTCAGACTTCACCTGCACCTGCCTTGCTCTGCCGAACCCCAACGCCTCCCCTCTTCTCTGCAGCACTGACTCCATCCCTGGACTGCCAGCCAAACTGCAGCCCTCCCCCAGGGGAGAGGAGTGACACAGCCAGGGAGGCTGGGACAGTGCTGGCCCTCATCCCAGGCAGCCCAGGTGTCCCTTTAATTACAATCCCAGAAGGAATAGGTGCTCCACCTCCAGTCACGCCCAGCCACATTTGCTACCAGCTGGTCACATGCAGCAGCTCCCCTGGGCAATTGAAGGGTATCAAATTTTATTATAGATCTCTTTAAAACAGGCTGGAAGGAACACACCAAACTCATTGAGATATAGCAACTGAGTCATCATTTCTGATCAAGCCCCAACTCTCCCAAATTATTTATATATAATATATATATCCCACCTGTCCCCCAAACTGTCCTAACTAAATGATCACATTTCAGACCACCCTAAGTGCCTTAACATCAGCTGCTGTTAACATCACAATGCACGTGTTTCTGGCAAATCAGAGGCAGGGTCTGGGTTTTTTGGGGGGTTTAGATCCTCAATCTCTGAAAAGGAGGAAGGAAAAAGAAATATCAGGAAAATTGCTTCTTTAAGATTGCCTTTTTACAGCAGGTACAGATTCGGCAGAGTTCCCCCCCAAAGCAAGTCTGAAACCCTCTTGTTCAGCTTGGCAATAAGCAGAGTGTTTGAGGAGAACCAGCCGGGCCAGATCAGTCTGAGCAAGCTGATTTCGAGGCTTTGTTGTCATTTCCCTTTGGGTCCGGTTTCCAGCGGTTTTCCAATGTCCTTCCCACGCAGTTTGAGGCCTAGAACAAGACAAAGACGACCACCACCATCAGCGCTCAATCACTCACCCAGTAACTTTATTTCCCTCAATACTGGCTGTAAGGAAGAGAACATCCAGAAAAAGAGGGCAGGGGAACCAGAGCTCAGGAGAATCCTACTTTAGTTTCTAGGAGCACCAGACTAACTTCAAACAAGATCAACTTTCTTCCTGGGAAACGGGATCTGAACTGGCCCAGGAGACTAACATCAACACCAAATCCTTCCTTAAGTGCCATCAGGCCTCCGTGGGTCTCAGCATCTCGCTGGTTTTGGGGGGAAGCACATAGGGGTGATCCCCAGGACACAGACCCACGCACGAAGGTGCAAAGAACAAGAGCTCCCAGTTCTGGTTCAATCAGCAAACCCAGGTTTTATCAGAACACACACGGCACCACACCCACCATAACCTCCAGCCAGCAACATTCCTGACAGGGAAAATGTAAATACCTTCCCCCAGCCCATCCCTCCCAGCCCTGGCAGCACTGAGTCTCCCTCTGCTCACCGATGGCTCTCTCGATCTTGCCCATGACCTGGTTGTTGGGGATCGCTCGTCCCGACTCATAGTCAGCGATAACTTGTGGTTTTTCATTGATTTTCTAAAAAGGGAGGATGAGTATCAAACACAGCAAATGCTCAGCAGCAGCCCCCCAGGGCTCACACGGGTAAAGAACAGGATTATGACAGGATAGATGACCAAGTGCTGTTCCCAGGCTGACTCCATCCCCACTGGCACCTCCCTGCACTGGTAACATCCATCTTGGACAGACTGCAACCTCCCTCCCCCCCAGGAGGAGCAGGACCACCAGGGACTGCTGTTTCTTCAGACACCAGTGAGCTCTCACTGCTCAGCCCTGATGGTACAAACCCCGGGACTGGTGAAGCTGCTGGGGGAGGGGGAAAAGCAGCCTCCCACCTCCAGCTCAGCAGCCACAGCAGGCTCTGCCTCCAAGCTGGGGCTCAAGGGCTGCACACACAAAGCAGCAAACATTTCCCAGACAACTGACAGCACTGGGAGATCACACACCAGGGATGCTGCATTCCCCAACCTTCCTGCCCATGACACCATCCCACTGCAGCTACCCAGGGGACACAGGAAAGGTGCCCACCCTCCCCCAGAGGTGCCCCCCCGCCCCAGGTGCCCCTCACCGTGGCCAGGTCCTTCTGCGTGAGGCCCTTGCTCTGGCGGCCCTGCTGGATCACTTTGCCCACCTCCAGGGAAACTCTGTCGTGGTGCAGCTCCTCCGTTTCACGGTCGAGCTTGGCCGTGTTCTTTGTAATGAAGTGCTGTTTGTTCTGGCCTGCTGCCCCTGTCATTCCAAGCGAGAACAAAAGCACAACCAAGGACAAACAAATCAAGGCTCAGAGCTGTGCCAAAAAGTGTCAAAGGGCTTTTTCCAAGCCCTCAGCTGCCCAGGATCCCAGAGAGCTGTCAGGATTACAACACGCCAGCACCAGCACTGACCTCACCCAGATCCTGCCCATCAGGGAATGTTGTCTTAGCCCTGGTCGTGGTGCTGTGCAGAGCGCAGGCCTGCAGAGCCCTCTCCTTTCCCTACTTCACACCTGAACTTCTCTCCAGACAGGCCAGCTCTTGCTTTTCTTTTGGGATTTAATACTCAAACTTCACTCCAGACGCATGTTTGGGCTGCAGCATAGGGGGGTCAGTACTTGAAGTTGAATCTTATTTGCTCAGGTATGAGGCAGCACGAACAAGGGTTTTTTAACCAATTTTCTGATGCCTTTTATAAGTAAATTCTAACTGTACTTAGCTTCACTGAAAGCCTGAGGTCTAAAACCACATTATTTGTTTTGTTTAATTTTACAGTATTTAAGTCCTAAGCTGGATCCTTTGTCTCACATTAGTGTTTGACATTCAGTGTCTCGACACAGCTGACTAAACTTCCTTCAAGGATCATTTCTTTGTTTATTTTCAAGCATCAGAATCTCCTCCCTGCAGTGAGAGAACCTGGGAATTTACTTCAGACAGGAAACAAGGGATTTTTACCGAGAAGCGCCACAGGAAGATAAACAGCCATTCAAACTCTCAACAGAAATGAGCTGCAAAAATGGGGAGCTTAAGTTTTGCGGCCAGAAGCGCTCTCAGAGGATCTCTGCAGAAGCCAGCCCGGGCTGAGCCCTGGGCCAGCAGGGCCTCGGGGGCGTTATCGCCGCTCCCGGTGCGGGGCTCGGGTCTCTCCGTTGGGCCCCGCTCAGCCGGGTGGTGCCCCCCCCACCGCCCCCCAGCCCCCCGCGGGATACCCACACTTCTTGGAGGTCTCCACGTCCTCCCCGCGCCGCTGGGCCGCCAAGATCGCCTGGGGAGAGAGCGAAGGTGCGGGCTGAGCGCGGCGCAGCTCGGAGCCGCCGCCTCGGCGGATCCGGGCCCGGCCCCGGCCCCGCAGCCCCTCGGGCGCCCGTTGCTGCCCCCGCTGACCTGCTTGGACTTGGCCTGCGCGGCGCTCGGGCCCTTCTTGCGCAGCACCGTCACCGTGTCCCAGTCGCTCTCCGCCATCGCCGCCGCCCCGCCCGGCCGCACCCGCCCCCCACGGGGCGGGGCCAGCGCCGCGCGCGCCCATTGGCCGGAGCGCGCGCCCGTCACGGGCCCAGCCGCTCATTGGTGGGGAGCGGCGCGAGCGCGGTGGGCGGGGCCGCGCGGCCCCCAGGGATGTGGGCTTAGCAGCGACCTGCGTGACGTCTCTGCCGCTGATAGGTGTAAAGCCCTGCCAATCATCTTTCTCGCGCTTCGATTGGCTAGCTAGTTCGCCAGCCTTGAGGCGGGCAGTATGCGCTCCTGCACGCTGCGATTGGCTGCTGGCACTGTCAGTAACCCGCTATCGGCACGGATTGGTTTTCTCTCCGGCGCGCTGTCATATCCGCTGACCAATGGCCGTGCCCGGCTGAGACGAGCCGAGCGCGCGCAGGGTGGCGGCCCGTGGTGCCCGTCCCGGGCGGTCCCGAGGCCCTCCCGACCCCGAGAGGGGACACGGACAGGCCCGAGGGGACACGGGAGCAGCGGCTGAGAACACTGCGTTGGTTCAGCCCAGCGAAGGGGATATAGCTCCTCCCGAGGGGCAGCTCCGATCTCTGCTCCTGTGCCCAGTGACAGGACCTGAGGGAACGGCTGGAGCTGTGCCAGGGCAGGGTTAGGTTGGATTCAGGGAAAGGTTCTTCCCCCAGAGGGTGGTTGGCACTGAACAGGCTCCCCAGGGCAGTGGGCACAGCCCCAAGGCTGCCAGAGCTCCAGGAGGGTTTGGACAACGCTCTGAGGGACAGGGTGGGATTGTTGGGGTGTCCTGGGCAGGGCCAAGACCTGGACTGGATGGTCCTTGTGGGTCCCTTCCAGCTCAGGAATTCGATGAAACTCCTTGAATTGCATGAGAATCACCCAGAGAGTCCCGCAGTAAAGGCAGGAAAAGCTGCTCCTGCTCTCGTCATTTCTGAACTGAGGGTGCACAGGGTTAACGCTCCGAGGGTGGGTTTTTGTGGAGTCTCCCCATGAGAGAGGGCAGGAGGAGTGGCTGGAGCCCGGGCATGGTGATCTGGGCACTGCTCGGAAATCAGGCACGGGGAGAGCACAGAGGTCTGTCATCTGTCAGCCGTCGCTGCACCGCGCCGGGCCCCGGCTCCGGGGGCGGGAGAGCAGCCCTGGGACGGGAGGGGGAACGTCAGGGGGTGCGGGCCGTGCAGGGGGGCCGGGGCGCAGCAACAGCAGGATGGGGAGCAGCCCCAGGTGCTCCGGTCCCATCCGGCTGCCGTCACTGGGAGCAGCCTCGGGTGGTCCCGTCCCGCAGCGGGTGCTGTTTCCTGCCCCTTCGGGAACAGCACGTCCTGCCCCGGCATTGCTGCCAGGTCACGGGCAGGTCAGGAAGTGCAGGAGGGTTTTCCTTGGCTGGGTGACATCACCCAGCCGAGAACTGCAGCCCCGCAGAACTTTCCACTCTGGTGTTCCCGGAGCGCTGTGCCGGGAAAGGGGCTGTTGCGGTGCCGGGAGTGACGCGGTGCCGGTGCGGGGGAGCTGCGCTCGTGCCGTTCCCGGTGCCTACAGGGAAGTCCCGCTCCGGGCACCCCGGCGGGACCCTGAGCAGGGCGTGGTGGAGCCTGAGCCCCCGCCGAGCCCCGACCCGCCCGGCCCCGTTCTCGTCCTCGCAGCCGCGCTCCCGGGGCAGCCTCCTCGGTCAGGGCGCCGCTGGGCCGGCTGCCCCGGCTCTGGCCGGGCAGGATTTCCCCGGCCCGGGTGAATTCCCCGCGGTGAAAACGAGCCAGCGGTAACGCCCCGGAGCCCCGCGCTGAGGCGGGCTCGGGGGACGGGCGGGCTGGGGACCCGGGTGACAAATCCTGCCGCGGTGACCTTTCGCTGAGCAAGTTCCCCTGCGAAAAGCCCCTCACCGCGGCTGTGCCGCGCCTGTCCCCACACGGCCCTTGTCCCGCCGCCGCCCGCTCGTCCCGACCTCCGCCCCCCGCGGGTCCCCGGGAAGGCGACACGGGACGCGGGTGGCCATGGCCCTGTGTGCGCAGGTAGGGGAGCACTCACCGCTGCCCAAAAGCGACTTACAGCAGTTACTCGGGGTGCCAAGGCTCACCCCGGGCCGCTCCCGAGGGACCAGGGGCTTCTCACGCGGGGGTGCAGCGGGAGGGTGTCTGTCCCCCGGTGGGAGCCCGCGGGGGTGTCGGGGTGCCCCGGGCTGAGCACCACAGTCCCTCCGGGTCCCCTTCCAGCAGGTGCACGGGGCGGAGGGGGTCCCAGGGGGTGGATAAGGGGACCCTGGGGATGTATGGGCGGTCCAGAGGGGTGTATGGGGAGTCCCAGAGGGTGTATGGGGAGTCCCAGGGGGTGTATGGGGGGTCCAGAGGGGTGTATGGGGAGTCCCAGAGGGTGTATGGGGAGTCCCAGGGGGTGTATGGGGGGTCCAGAGGGTGCATGGGGGTCCCTGGCGGTGGATGAGGCGACCATGGGGATGGATAAGGGTATCCGGGGGAGTGTTTGGGGAGTCTGGCGGGGGGATATGGAGTGTCCAGGGGGATGGATAAGGGGACCCAGGGGTGGATGGGGGTCTCCGGGGGCTGGGTTAATTGCCAGCGGGGTGGCCTGAGGCAGGGGAATGGCAGTGGGTGGTGTGGGGTCATCGGGAGGTGGTGCTGAAAGGAGAGGTGGCACAGGGTGTGTGGGGGGGCTGTGTGAGGGGGCGACAGGGATACTGAGGGGCTGACAGTGGGTGACAGTGAGTATGGCAGGAGCATAACTGGGGGTGTCGGTGTGGGGGTGTTGGGGTGACAGGGATTGGTGTGGGGGTGTTGGAGGTGCAGGGGTGGGTGATGCTGTGGGGGTGACGGTGTAGGAGTCCCGATGTGGGGGTGTCTGTATGGGGGTCTCGGGGTGTCAGTGTGTGGGGGTGTCAGTGTGTGGGGGTGTCTGTGTAGGGGTCCCGGGTTGTCGTTGTGTCGGGCTCGGTGTATCGGTGAAGGGATCCCGGTGTGGGGATGTGTGTGTGGGGGTGTCGGGGTCAGTGTGTCGGTGTGGGGGTGTCTGTGTGGGGGTCCCGGGGTGTCGGTGTGTCGCTGTAGGGGACCTGGGGTGTCGCTGTAGGGGTCCCGGTGTGTCGGTGAAGGGGCCCCGGGGGGCGGGGCCGTTGCCCGTTACGGGCGGGGCAATGTGCGGGCAATGTGGCGGGGCAATGTGTGGGCGGGGCAATGTGTGGGCGGGGCCATATGTGGGCGGGGCTATGTGTGGGCGGGGCCGGGGCTCCCACGTGTCCGGGGCGGGGCCGGCGGCGTTTCCGGTGCGGAGCGAGGGGCGGTGAGTGCTCCGGGGGCACCGGGGGGACCCCACCGGGGCGATCGCGTCGGGCCTCCCTCCACCTGCGGCCCCCACCGCCACACAACCCTCCTGGGTCCGGCTCAGACCTCCCCGGGTCGCGGGGTGTCCGCTCGTGGAGTCTCCCCGCGGGGCCAGGCTGGGAGAGCTGGGGGGGTTCACCTGGAGAAGAGAAGGATCCAGGGAGACCTCAGAGCCCCTTCCAGGGCCTAAAGGGGCTCCAGGAGAGCTGGAGAGGGACTGGGGACAAGGGATGGAGGGACAGGACAAGGGGCAGTGACTTCCTAGTGCCAGAGGGCAGGGATAGATGGGATATTGGGAAGGAATTCTTGGCAGTGAGGGGGGCAGGCCCTGGCACAGGTTGCCCAGAGAAGCTGTGGCTGCCCCATCCCTGGAAGTGTCCAAGGCCGGGTTGGACGGGGCTTGGAGCAACCTGGGCTGGTGGAAGGTGTCCCTGCCCATGGCAGGAGGATGGAATGAGATGAGCTTTAAGGTCCCTTCCAACCCAAACCAGTCTGAGATTCCATACATATATTCCCTTAGGCATTTTTAGGTGGTTGTGGGCTGTACTCACGGTGAACAAATGTGTGAGATGCACCTTTAGATCATCATAAGTGGTCAAAACAAAAGCACTTTATTCTTTTCCTCCTTCCCAATTTGCTTGTGCCTCTCATGTCATCATTTTCCATCTTTCTGGAGAGCCACGTGTGCCTGCTTGGGCATCACCAGTGAGTCTGGGCTGCACTATGTGTCCCTGGGACCAGCTGGGGCAGAATTTTGGTGCTTTCTGACAGACATGAGAACAAACATTGGTGGGCTGTGGTCACCTCACTCAGTGTCAACAGGTTTTTGGTGGACTGGGGCCATTTATTGTATTCATCAGCAGCTTTAGGACAGTTTTTTACCTTGTTTGGGGCCAGAAGCTGTGATTTCTCTGAACAGGCTGCATTTCAGTCAACTTGGACAGGGGGTTTTATGAGGTCTGTCCACCCTGTCTCTTTGTTCTGGATTTAGTTTTAAAGTTCAAGTTTCCTCTCATATTTTTAACCAGGTGAAAGCAGGCTTGTGGTGGGGTTTACATCAGTGTTGTGGAGTTTGGGGGCCAGTGTTACTGTGAGTAACAGGTGTTTATGTGAAAAGTCACCCCCATTCTGTTATAATCAAATGGGGGAAATTCTTTTATTTTTAGTCTCTGGAGATACAGCCAGAAATTTTCGTTCACATGGCAGCAGCAAACTCTTCTCCACCTCATTCTTTGGATCTAAACCAGCCTGGGTTTGCAAAGGAGATCCTGGGAACTAAACTGGAGGTCAAATACCTGTGCTCTGACTGCAAGAACATCCTGAGGCGGCCGTTCCAGGCGCAGTGTGGCCACCGCTACTGCTCCTACTGCCTGAAGAAAATCATCAGGTAACTGTTGTGCCTTCAGGATGGACACAAAATGCTTGAAAAGGTATTTTCAGGAAAAAAAAGGAGAGACAAGTCTCATTTTTGGAGCCCTCTCAGCGAGGGAGCTGTTTCATCACTGAGGTTCAGCATCACCTCTTCTCTGAGGGAATGTCTAATCTCTGACTTGCCTTCGTTGTTGCTTCAGAATTCCCTTTTCTACAATTTCCTGGATTGCTTTTGCCTTTCAGAAGGCAATCCAGGCATATCACCCGTCTCCTTCAATCTTCATCACAGCTGTTGAATGCTTCTAAAAGTCATCATTTGGTTGTTGTGTCAAAATGGGAGAGATT